ACAGCATATATGAAAAAAAATCAAATTAAATAAAAAAATCAAATAACCTTTAGTTTGACCAAAGGAGTATTACACAAGGATACAATTATTTTATATACTTCATTATGTGATCTTCAAATTCTATTTATTAAACCTATTGCTTTCAAATAATTAATAATTGCAATGGGAGTTTTTCTTCTTCTTCTTCGGTTTTATGGCGGGTAGCACCAATGTTAAGGTACATTATCGCCACCTGCTGCAGTAAATGGGAGTTACCGGATCGGGGCGTTTTTACACCATGTTTCCTGACTGGCCGACGTCACAGTGATGGTAGATTTAGGGGTGGGGTTAGGTAAGGAGGATCGTTTTGATTGCATGATTGAGAAACACCCTGCAGTTTGAAAACACCCACAAATTTAGAAACGCCCACTTTTGCTCTGCAGAGACCTCAGTCTCACACAAACGGCTACGGAATTATACGTCACTTCCGAAGCAAGTGATATTATTATATTTGTTCACATGTATTTAAGCATTTATGATTTAGTAATTCATGGTATGGATGTTAAATAACATACGTTTGATAAAAACTAAAATGTTTTTACATATTAATATTTGTACAACTGTTACATTATACCAGCGATATATGGCACGTGGGTTCGTTGTTTTTCAGGGTTGTATAAACTGTAGTGATGTTACTGTTCTTTTAACATATTGTGCGATTTGCTATAATAATGTACAAGTTTTTAGGAGCATCGGCATTCCAATTCTACACTCGTAGGTGCTTAAAACAGGTTTCAAGACCGCAGCTGTCAAGGGAACATGAAGGATTTTTGCTGCTTCGACGGTCATTTGTTTCCAGCTTGATATCAAAGGACTGGGCAACACATTTGGGCACAAAACAGAGGTGCAGCTCATCCAGAAGTCTGAGATGTTACAGCATTCAAAAAGGAGCTAGGGAGCCAGCATCAAATCCACCTCAGGAATTATACACTTTAGTGGAGCCACAGAAACAAGAACAGTTTGTGTTCCTGGACTTTGATGAACCAGTGGACAATAAAGATGATGAACTACCAGATCATCTTCTTTTGCATGATCTCACAAGCAGGGTTGGGGAAAGTTACTTTTAAAAGTAATGCATTACAATATTGCGTTACACCATGAAAAAGTAACTAATCACGGTACTTGGTTACTTTTTATGGAAAGTAATGCATTACGTTACTTCTGCGTTACTTTTTAAATCTGGACAGGGCTTGCATGTTTGTTTTTAAAATAAAAAAGTTAAATTTTTGGCAAATATAAAAGCCTTTTCACACCAAAAGTGAAATGAATAAGCCTCAGGCTGAAGGAAATGTAAATTTACGTCCGTACAGTAGAATGCAGAAGAAGAAATTTCAACACACTTCAGCAATAAAAAAAGACACATAATGTTTGTCTAGAGTAATTTTTGTTTATTAGTATGGTTGAACTGGATCATCGAAGGTCAGAAGCAAAGACATCGGTTAATAGAATGTGGTTTTGCATAACTCTATTTGCGACAAAGCTAGCTTTAGCCTGTTAGCCAGTTACGTTGTGTTAACGCTTAACTACAGTATCTAACTACACATTTCACTGCAATAAAACATAAAGAAACACAGATAACTATATTTCCTCTCACATACCTTCGTCTTGATCGTACATGATATTTGCTGGTGAATAACTTTAATTCTGATTAAATTAAAAAGAGGTTATCTGCGCGCCTCACTTCTCGGCGCTTTGTGTCTGAGCCGCTATGAACAACACAAACCCAAGTACAGGTCTCCGCAGGAAAGTAATGGGGGGTTTTTCTTCTTCTTCTTCTTTTCTTTTTAATGGCGGTTGGCAAACCCACTTAAAAGGTGCATTTCCGCCACCTACTGGACTGGAGTGTGGAGCATGACGTATATTGGTGACAGCATATATGAAAAAAAATCAAATTAAATAAAAAAATCAAATAACCTTTAGTTTGACCAAAGGAGTATTACACAAGGATACAATTATTTTATATACTTCATTATGTGATCTTCAAATTCTATTTATTAAACCTATTGCTTTCAAATAATTAATAATTGCAATGGGAGTTTTTCTTCTTCTTCTTCGGTTTTATGGCGGGTAGCACCAATGTTAAGGTACATTATCGCCACCTGCTGCAGTAAATGGGAGTTACCGGATCGGGGCGTTTTTACACCATGTTTCCTGACTGGCCGACGTCACAGTGATGGTAGATTTAGGGGTGGGGTTAGGTAAGGAGGATCGTTTTGATTGCATGATTGAGAAACACCCTGCAGTTTGAAAACACCCACAAATTTAGAAACGCCCACTTTTGCTCTGCAGAGACCTCAGTCTCACACAAACGGCTACGGAATTATACGTCACTTCCGAAGCAAGTGATATTATTATATTTGTTCACATGTATTTAAGCATTTATGATTTAGTAATTCATGGTATGGATGTTAAATAACATACGTTTGATAAAAACTAAAATGTTTTTACATATTAATATTTGTACAACTGTTACATTATACCAGCGATATATGGCACGTGGGTTCGTTGTTTTTCAGGGTTGTATAAACTGTAGTGATGTTACTGTTCTTTTAACATATTGTGCGATTTGCTATAATAATGTACAAGTTTTTAGGAGCATCGGCATTCCAATTCTACACTCGTAGGTGCTTAAAACAGGTTTCAAGACCGCAGCTGTCAAGGGAACATGAAGGATTTTTGCTGCTTCGACGGTCATTTGTTTCCAGCTTGATATCAAAGGACTGGGCAACACATTTGGGCACAAAACAGAGGTGCAGCTCATCCAGAAGTCTGAGATGTTACAGCATTCAAAAAGGAGCTAGGGAGCCAGCATCAAATCCACCTCAGGAATTATACACTTTAGTGGAGCCACAGAAACAAGAACAGTTTGTGTTCCTGGACTTTGATGAACCAGTGGACAATAAAGATGATGAACTACCAGATCATCTTCTTTTGCATGATCTCACAAGCAGGGTTGGGGAAAGTTACTTTTAAAAGTAATGCATTACAATATTGCGTTACACCATGAAAAAGTAACTAATCACGGTACTTGGTTACTTTTTATGGAAAGTAATGCATTACGTTACTTCTGCGTTACTTTTTAAATCTGGACAGGGCTTGCATGTTTGTTTTTAAAATAAAAAAGTTAAATTTTTGGCAAATATAAAAGCCTTTTCACACCAAAAGTGAAATGAATAAGCCTCAGGCTGAAGGAAATGTAAATTTACGTCCGTACAGTAGAATGCAGAAGAAGAAATTTCAACACACTTCAGCAATAAAAAAAGACACATAATGTTTGTCTAGAGTAATTTTTGTTTATTAGTACGGTTGAACTGGATCATCGAAGGTCAGAAGCAAAGACATCGGTTAATAGAATGGGATTAAATACATAAAGCATATTTGTGTTGTTTAACATTTAATTATTGCAGGTTTGCGTCATATTCTGAGTTGCATTATTTTTATTCATTTTGAGGAATACTGAATCTGTTTTTTTTTGTGAGTGAGATGAATTAATGCATATTCATATTTATTTTAGAACTACAGTAACGTCTTCTGATTTCTCTCAACATGGGGACAGGAGAGCTGTCAATCAATAAATTGGAAAAAAAGTAACTTGCGTTAATTATTTGAAAAAGTAACTCAGATATTCTCTTGTAAATTAAAAAGTAATGCGTTACTTTTACTAGTTACTTGAAAAAAGTAATTTGATTACGTAATTCGCGTTACTTGTAATGCGTTACCCCAACACTGCTCACAAGTAATGCAGAAGCAAAGCCAGCGCATGAAAAGCATGGCAATCACATGCACCTTAGAGGACTGGAAATGCAAATGAAACATTTAAAGGGCTCTGCAAAGTCTGAAGTGGAGGAAAACTCATTGATTGAGTTCCACGGTGAAGGATTCCCACTGGACAGACGCACCAAATCAAAGAAGGTTCAAAAGCAACAAAAGATCTATGGCACTCCTGATGTGGACGTGGCAGTCAGTGATACCTGTTGCTCCGGCTGCGGGGCCCTCATGCACTGTACGGACCCTGAAATCCCAGGTTACCTGCCAAGTGAGAAATTCAAAGCGTTAGCTGAAGAGGACCAACTGAAGAAGGCAATATGTCAGAGATGCTTTTTAATCAATCACCACCAGAAAGCTTTGAACGTCGCCATGTCCAAAGAGGAGTACAGAGCGATTGTCAAGGGAATTAAATCAGAGAAGGCTTTGGTGCTGCTGATAGTTGACCTTCTGGATCTCCCTGACTCCGTCATCCCAGACCTTCCAGAGCTTGTTGGGAAGAATAAGCTCATTGTGATTTTAGGAAATAAAACAGACTTGCTACCTGGAGATGCTGAGAATTACCTGCAGCGTATCAAACGTCAGCTGAAGGCATACTGTGAAAGCATGGGCATTTCTGCCATTGATAACAAAGACATCCACCTCATCAGTGCCAAAACAGGATATGGTATAGAAAACCTTATAACGAGACTGCAGTTGACCTGGAAGTACAAGGGAGATGTGTATGTGGTCGGGATGGCCAATGCTGGCAAATCCACGCTGTTTAATACTCTACTGGAATCTGATTATTGCAAATCCAGAGCCTCAGATGTGATTCATAAAGCTACTATATCTCCATGGCCTGGTGAGATATTGCATTCAAGATAATTGGTTTAACATTTAATTATTGCAGGTTTGCGTCATATTCTGAGTTGCATTATTTTTATTCATTTTGAGGAATACTGAATCTGTTTTTTTTTGTGAGTGAGATGAATTAATGCATATTCATATTTATTTTAGAACTACAGTAACGTCTTCTGATTTCTCTCAACATGGGGACAGGAGAGCTGTCAATCAATAAATTGGAAAAAAAGTAACTTGCGTTAATTATTTGAAAAAGTAACTCAGATATTCTCTTGTAAATTAAAAAGTAATGCGTTACTTTTACTAGTTACTTGAAAAAAGTAATTTGATTACGTAATTCGCGTTACTTGTAATGCGTTACCCCAACACTGCTCACAAGTAATGCAGAAGCAAAGCCAGCGCATGAAAAGCATGGCAATCACATGCACCTTAGAGGACTGGAAATGCAAATGAAACATTTAAAGGGCTCTGCAAAGTCTGAAGTGGAGGAAAACTCATTGATTGAGTTCCACGGTGAAGGATTCCCACTGGACAGACGCACCAAATCAAAGAAGGTTCAAAAGCAACAAAAGATCTATGGCACTCCTGATGTGGACGTGGCAGTCAGTGATACCTGTTGCTCCGGCTGCGGGGCCCTCATGCACTGTACGGACCCTGAAATCCCAGGTTACCTGCCAAGTGAGAAATTCAGAGTGTTAGTTGAAGAGGACCAACTGAAGAAGGCCATATGTCAGAGATGCTTTTTAATCAATCACCACCAGAAAGCTTTGAACGTCACCATGTCCAAAGAGGAGTACAGAGCGATTGTCAAGGGAATTAAATCAGAGAAGGCTTTGGTGCTGCTGATAGTTGACCTTCTGGATCTCCCTGACTCCGTCATCCCAGACCTTCCAGAGCTTGTTGGGAAGAATAAGCTCATTGTGATTTTAGGAAATAAAACAGACTTGCTACCTGGAGATGCTGAGAATTACCTGCAGCGTATCAAACGTCAGCTGAAGGCATACTGTGAAAGCATGGGCATTTCTGCCATTGATAACAAAGACATCCACCTCATCAGTGCCAAAACAGGATATGGTATAGAAAACCTTATAACGAGACTGCAGTTGACCTGGAAGTACAAGGGAGATGTGTATGTGGTCGGGATGGCCAATGCTGGCAAATCCACGCTGTTTAATACTCTACTGGAATCTGATTATTGCAAATCCAGAGCCTCAGATGTGATTCATAAAGCTACTATATCTCCATGGCCTGGTGAGATATTTCATGCAAGATAATTGGTCAGGAATTAAGCTAAATATTGGCCTTAATCAGTAAATATGATATATAATGATATGCATTATATAGGTTAACTACACTTTTGCAATCCTGTTTTACAAATACGCTGCCAGTCAAAAGTTTGGAATAATAGAGGTATTTATTCAGAAAATCATTCAGATATCATTTTAATATGCTGGTTTGATGCTCAAGAAACAATTCTTATCAGTAAAGTTGAAAACAGTTTTTGATCATTAATATTTTTGTAGAAGCCATGATACACCGTTCAAAAGTTTGGGGTAGATAGATAAAAAAAATAATACAATAAATAAACAGTACTTTTATTCAGCGAGGATGCATTATTTATCAAAATGACAGTAAAGACATTTATAATTAGCCTATAATTTTACAAAAGATTTCGATAAAAAAATTTTTTGTTCTTTTAAAATTCAATTTCAGAAATTCAAATTTCTATTCATCAAGAATCCTGAAAAAAGTCGCATTTTCAAAACTGCTTTCAACATTGATGATAAAATATGTTTCTTAAACAGAAAACCAGCAAATTAGAATGACATCTGAAGAATCATGTGACACTGAAGAGTGGAGCAATGGCTGCTGAAAATTCAGCTTTGCGTCAGAAATAAATCACACTTTGCAATATATTCAAATGAAAAAGTGTTCTTTTAAATTGTAATATTATTTCACAATATTTTTGCTTTTACTGTATTTTTGAGCAAATAAACACATTCTTTGTGAGCATAAGAGACTTCTTCCAAAAACATAAAACAAAAAAATTACTCCAACCTTTTGACCAGTAGTGTGTATAAGAGAGGAATGTTTCAAGTACTAAAACAAGAACAAAGCGCTTTTTATTTAGCATGCTTGACCCTTTTAGTAATTTAAGAGTGTGTTGTGCATTCCTGAGTGATTAAGCTGTTAAGATATGAAATGTGACCCTTGCTGTGAAAACCCAGCTAAAGTAATTTTTTGTGATTTACTGTTTTCTACATAAAATCATCTTACCTTCATAAGGTAAAGAACATTCTGTGAAAATGTAACCTTGATATCTTTAATATCGACTGAGTAAGGCCATGTCAAATATTTAAATCATAGTGAAATTAATGGTTGAAATCAAACTTTGATGCTTGATATCTCATAATTTGATTTTGAGACTTTAGCCTGGATTTCACAGAGAGGGTCATATTTAAATCATAGTGAAATTAATGGTTGAAATCAAACTTTGATGCTAGACTTTAGCCTGGATTTCACAGAGAGGGTCACGTATTGATGTCCAAGTTATTTAAACTGTTAAGAACACGTTTTTCTGTCCACTGTAAATCTAGGAACAACATTAAATCTGCTGAAGTTTCCCACCATCAACCCGACCCCCTACCGGATGTTCCGGAGGGCAGAGAGATTGAAGCAGGCATCTCATTTGACAGAGGATGACATGAATCCTGAAGAGCTGAAGAGAATCATACAGTTCAGCAAGCAGGGATACTTGGTTGGTGAGTTTGTAAGTTTTGTTGTTTTAGGAACCCACAATATATCTGTTCCTATCGGTTATCAACAGATATTAGAGATTTTTAATTTATCTGTATCGGCAGATATTGGATATTTAAATGTGATTCTAATTTTCATTTATTCCTTGTATGTAAGGACTAGTCAAATGTTTACAATAATTAAAAAAAATTATGTTGTTGAAAGAAGTCTCTTATGGTCACAAAGGCTGCATTTATGTGATCAATGATACAGCAAAAACGGTAGTATTGTGAAATTTTTACAATATAAAACTCTTTTCTATTTTAACATTTTCAAATGTAATTTATGTTTGTGATGGCAAAGCTGAATTTTCAACAGCCTTTCTTCCAGTTTTCAGTGTTACATGATCTTTCAGAAATTATATTTGTTAATAATACGTTTGTTATTGATAATAATAATGATATTTCTTAATAATAAATTAATAATCATTAATAACATTTTACAGAATTTTCCTTTTGTAAAATGGGAGGCAGCTTATTATTATTAATATTATTTATTATTATTTTTTAGGTCACATTGGGAGGACATTCCTAGCAAATCAGCCACCCAAGAAAACTCTTGTGGAATTTGATCCTGACAGTCTGAGTTTTGGAGAAGACCTGGAGGAAGACGTTAAAAAGGATCCATCATTGGACTCCTCCACAGATGCAGAGCTCAGCTACAATGAAATCAAAGATGCACACTGGTTCTATGACACCCCAGGCATCATGAAAGAACATGTCTCCATATTCAAACTGTACATACATAATGTGATATAATTATGTTCATAATTACAATCATTTCTGTATACTCGTATTTTAAAATGTCTATCATTATGAATCATGCACCACTAAGGATTTTGATCAAAATGTAACTTTCCAGGTTCTCAGCCTGTTGAATGAGCAGGAAGTGAAGCTGGTGGTTCCTACTCAGGCCATTACGCCAAGAACGTTTGTAATGAAGCCTGGTATGGTTTTATTTTTGGGGGCTTTGGCGCGCATTGATTTCATTTGACATTTTGAAAACAATCTTTTGCTGTATCTGACCAACACCAAGATGGCTCTTTACTCTCTCTAGGGAAAAAGCTCATGCTGGTTAACAGTTGTTGCTTCAAATCGCATCCCGGTACATATCACCAGTTTAGACAAGGCTGATGCAATCTACCAGAAACATGCTGGGAATACCCTTCTTGCAGTATGTATAAATAAATACATTTGTATTGTCATTACTATAGTCTTCAGTATCACCAGGCCCTTCAGAAATCAGACTAATATGCAAATTTGGATGCTCTAGGAACATTTCTTATTATTATCAGTGTTGAAAAGCGTTGTTCTACATTGTTTTGTGGCAAGGTCCCATCTGGTGATGAGGAGTGCATGAAAACTTTTCCACCACTTGTTGCTCAAGACTTTGAACTCCAGGGGCAGGGCTGTAACACCGCAATCGCTGACATCAAGGTCTCATCAGCAGGTAATTCTTTTGGCTGCCTTCCCAGGTTTTTCCAGTTGTCTACATTTAATTAGCTTTTTAGATTGTGTAAGGTTTTATGGTAAATCTCATGACCAAGTCTTAAAAATGTGGCCAGCCAGGGCTCAAGTTAAATATATTTAAAGAAACTTAAATTTATGATGCCTTTTATTGATTTTCAGGCTGGGTTGCTGTGACAGCAGCCGAAAGAGATCAGCTGTTGTTGAGGACTCGCGCACCTGAAGCAGCAGGACACTAGTTATGGTTAATTATTCATATTTCCTGTCGTTGAGCTAGATTCGCTACAGTGGCTGACTAAATACTTTTTTGCCCCACTGTATGTCTGCGCACCCCGCGTTTACTGCCCCACGTCGTGAATCTGAAAGGACAGAGAATCAACAAAACTCCCGCCTACAAGACGAGAAAGCCACAGGCGCTGGTAGACGCTGGTCTGTCTGAGAAAGCTGCTGAGAGACTCAAAGTGAGAAGGAAAAACTGAAGTGTTGTTGCTGTTTCTCTTGATACCCGTTGAAGCTTTTGGTCTTCAAAATATTGAACTCAAAATATGAATGTATTGTTTTTTTATACTGTCTAAATTATAATTAAATGTCTACAGGTGCATCTCAATAAATTAGAATGTCGTGGAAAAGTTCATTTATTTCAGTAATTCAACTCAAATTGTGAAACCCGTGTATTAAATAAATTCTATGCACACAGACTATGGGGTATTGTCAAGAGGAAGATGAGAGACACCAGACCCAACAATGCAGATGACCTGAAGGCCGCTATAAAAGCAACCTGGGCTTCCATTACACCTGAGCAGTGCCACAGGCTGATTGTCTCCATGCCACGCCGCACTGATGCAGTAATTCATGCAAAAGGAGGCCCTACCAAGTATTGAGTACATGTACAGTAAATGAACATACTTTCCAGAAGGCCAACAATTCATTAAAAATGTTTTTTTATTGGTCTTATAAAGTATTCTAATTTGTTGAAATAGTGAATTGGTGGGTTTTTGTGAAATGTGAGCCAAAATCATCACAATTAAAAGAACCAAAGACTTAAACTACTTCAGTCTGTGCATTGAATTTATTTAATACACGAGTTTCACAATTTGAGTTGAATTACTGAAATAAATGAACTTTTCCACGACATTATAATTTATTGAGATGCACCTGTATATATTTCAAATATATAAAAAAAATGTTTTTATATACTTTCAAATAAAAAAAAGAACAAAACTGTGGCAAGATTTTTTTTATTGAAACATCTAGAGCTATACATACAGGTCACATAGTAAACAGTTTTTCAGATCATTCATAAAAAGCCATATCAAGGGGACAAAATGATTTGATTTCGACTGATATAATTGGACTACTTTTACTAGGAAATGGAAACGACAGTCACACACTTGATTACAAAGATGGATAAATGGCACAATCTGAGTTGTGAATTGGCAACATTCTATTCTAAAGAAGAAAAGCAAATTGCTTAACACAAAAAAAAGTGATAAAGGACAAATTTACAGTGATAAAGTATCCAACCGTCTAAGAGTGTGGTTTTTCAGGTGCACTGGGTCCCTGTGGATAGTAGGTTTTCTGGTTTTCCATCTGAGGCCTGTGGTTTTGCTCCTACAAACTTTACCAACTACATCTTGCTTTGGTAATAAACCCAAAAATATAAATATTGCACTTAATGCACTAAAGGCAAATTATTTCTATAACTTTTCTCTTACAGTATTTTTTTTCTTCCTTTTTAGACAGAATAACATGGCAAATTTACTGATATACAAGGGTTGAGGCAGCAACACATTCACACTCATACAAATAAACAAAAAGGTCAGTTCAATATGATTAGATAAACTTTGGATAAACAGATTTTTAATGCAGATAACCAATTTGATATGTGTAAGGGAATGTTGCTTGGGTAAAATACACAGAAAAGACAAGCCATTCTTTCACTTGAAGGTAAATAAGATCTAAATATCGGAGACATTGATTAAAATGCTCAAATTGATTGTCTGAGGCACTGAAGAGCAAATAAGAAAAATATGTACAGTTTATATACAGACAAAAGCAACAAAATCTTTGGACTGAGCATGAAATTGAAGTATTACCAGAAAATTGACAGATAAAATAATCTACAAACTCGAGAAGTGAGTTACAATGCGGTGTAAAAAAAAGAGAGCAAATTTACAACGAAAGAAAAAACCTACTATTCCACAAATATTACGAACTACATGCTACTTCCCTTGAAAGGCAGAGCAAGTGTAATCAAAGAAAGACCTCTAGGAAGTGTACATAAATCTTTTTTGTTCAAATGAAATGTTTAGCTTATGTGAAACATAGCCTCAAAGGTAAGCTTATTGGTAAGGTTAGTTGTCAAGTGCTCCCTAAAATGTATTCAACTGTTTCTTTGTTCCCTTTTACAATGACATTAGCCAGCTTTAAACACACACCCCGTCTCTTGCTGACCAGAGATGGAGGCGCTTCAGTGGAGTGGAACAGCACAAAGACACTGAAAGCCCCATTATCTTCAGGGCTATTCAGCGCTGGACCACCTGGGTCTGGCTAATCTGAGCTCTCCGCAGGGATGGAGGGAGAAAGTGTACTTGCTTTCAGAGCAGTTCTCCTTTTTGTTGCTTCCAAGTAGTGTAACAATAAACACAAGAAAACCCCGATGATCCTACCACAAGTTGACAATGGGTTTAATTTCTGAATTGAAAGTATACTGTGTTATTTTAATGTTTCTTGTTGCGTCATGGCAAACTGAAAACAGGCGTAGAGGTGGTCATCTGTCACGAGCTGTAAAGCCATCAAAAACAACAACAACCTTATTTTTATTACAACTTGAACAAGCTTTGTTCAGTTAGAAGTCTAGGAGAACCTCATAAACTGTTTTGGACACAAAAACGCTGCCCTTTTTCATACGAGATACCCCTCACTTGTCACCCTGAGCCGCCCCTTCTAGGTAATACACATTTACTAAATGCCGATTCAAATGGCGACGGTAGTCCATCTCAAGAGAGAAGGTACGGTCACAGAAGATACAGGTGTGACTGAGCAGTTTGGATGGAGACGGAAGCTCTTCTGTCGGAGTCTCTGGAAGTTTCTCTCTACCATCGGTGGCAGCAGTCAGTCCGTTAAGACCTGAGTCGCAGCTTCCTTCAGAGGCGCTATCGCTGATGTCACTTCCCCCATCATTACTGTGGATACCTTCGTCATCCTCTGCATCGGTAGATTTGTGACCAGGTGGACCAGGAAGTTCAAGAGTTGGGCTGAAACCTGGAGAGGTCTTGTTGTCAGTAGGTGATGGCATCTCACTTCCGCTGTCTACATCTGGAATTTCTTTTGGCTCATGTGGGACCTTGTTCTCAGTTTCTTTAGGTTGTTCAGAGTCTGGAACTTGGGGTTGGCATGGAACTGTGAGTTCCTCCACAACAGAAGCAGTCTCCTTGTGATTTCTCTCGTCTTGGCAGGTCACTACTGTAGGTGTCTGCTCATCTGGTTGGTCAAGTACCTTCAGTGTTTCTGTGGTGGACTGTTTTTCAGCTTCTAGAGTGTTTAGCTTCTCTGGGACTTCGTTGGTCTTCTCAGGTTCAATGACACATGTCTCAGGTTTGTTTGCATTTGCCTCAGCATTCTTGGTTTTGCTCTTCACGGCCTGTAGAACCTCAGGTATGGTGCGATTTCTCTCTGGAGCACCAGAACTTGTTGATGGCTTGGCTGTATCTTTCGTTGTGCGCTTGACCCGCTTTGAAGGACAATTAGTTACTGAAGAATCAGTCGCTGGTACTTTCATGTTCTCTGCTTTTCTTTTGACAGGTTTGCTCTGGGTATCTTTTTCACGGTTGACCTTTGACAATTTTGTCTGCCTCTTGCATGGCTTCTTGGGTTGAGGTTTCTTGCAATCTTTTGCACGTTCTTTCTCTTCAGTCTCCTTCGCTTTCCCATTCAGCAAGCTGTTTTCCTTTTCTAGCCGCTCTCTTTTCTCTTTCTCATTTTGCTGCTGCTGCTTCTCTAAGTCGTTCTCTGGTCTTTCTTTATCCATATCTAATCTTTGCTCAACAATAGGCTGATGTTTTGCAGTAACTTCATTGGCGGTTTCCTTCAATGGCTTCTCTTTCTTAGGACGACCTTTCGCTACTTTCTCCACAGATTTAGGGGATTTCTCTACCTTCTTCATTTCCTTTTTATTAGCTTGTTTGTCATTGCAGCCTTTTGTTTGTGCCACGGCAATGTCCACAGCTTTCACCAAAGTCTTTCCTTTAACCTTCTTACTGTTTTTCTCTTTTACCTCATTTTTCGGCATGTTCTTTTTCTCTGCAGTTTTTTCATTGAGTTGTTGGGTTGGCTTTCCAGATTTTTCTTTCACAATGACATCTGGGTTTTTCTTTGCGGTCTTGCCAGTCAGCTCAGTCTCCACAGCAAGGGTGGGTTTAGTGGGTTTCTTAATAGAGAGGTTGATGGGACCTGATTCAACATCATCCAATTCTCCCAACTGCTTGTCCTCACTTCGCCTTGATCCAGACTGGTCTGTCGCAAGCTTATTTGGCGAAATATCATCCGTGTCAGTCCTCTTCACGCGAAGCCTTACCTTTGATACGTCCATCGAGATATCAGTGCATCCTGGGTGTCTGGACTTGATGTGATACTGCAAGTTGCACTTCTTGGATGCAGCATATTTGCAAACCGTGCAAAGAAACTGGCGAGGGTTGACATGGAGCTCAACATGCTTTTTAAAGTTGCTGCGGTCGGCTGTCTTGTATTGGCAGTAGGGGCAGCTTAGGGGCTTGGGTCCATTGTGGACCTGTCTGGCATGGCGAGTCACCTCGTGCTGGTTGGCTGCCAGGTAGCTGCAGTTGTCACATTTGAAAGGCCTCTCACCTATTCCAGACAGACCATAAAGAGAAGGTCACGGCTGAACAATGAATCTTTTATTTCAACATTTTGAGAAAAACACAGATGCAAGTCTCATGCGGGGATAAAGATAAAAGACACATTCAATACAGAATCACATTCTAATTCACTCTGTATACTACAAACCGTGTACCATTTTATCCAAAGCCATCTGGCTCCACGGAGTGCAACAAAAGAGAGAAACATCATTGACAAGATGAAAACATAGGCCTTGAGCACATTTGCTCTGTCCCAAAACCCAGAGGCAACTTACACTTACACTTGCACTTACAGAGGCAAAATAGTCACCTTGAAAAATGAGCACTCACTTTATAAACTTGTATAACTTTTAG